TGCACTTTCCATGCACATTACAGTAATCCAAAACTGCACCCTCTTTCTCTGTCGGTGTTTGTGTGTATGCATATGCATGTGTTGGGGAAAGTATTATACTGTCCTTACTTTAGAACCTCTTTCTTTCTCCCATCTCTTCCTCCTTTTAGCAACTCCTACAGATTAATTCCAAACCCTTGCAGGTTTACAAGCTTGCTCATTTTCTGTTAGTATCTCCCACCTAGGCACTAGCCTTGCCTAGCCTCAATCTGGCCCTCATAATTCACCTAGGACCATTCTGAATAGGGTAAGATTGGTTTTTAATGTATATGTGTTGTTTTGATAATTTTATGCTTATGTTTTGCTTACTCTGTATGTTTTGGTGTTTTGTTACAGGGAAACCGCCCTGAGTCCCCTAGGGTAGATAGAGCAATATATAAAGTTTTATTTATATTATTTATATATTAGAGAGCTCTGTTTGAACATGGTTTGTTGAGATCAGCTTTCCAAAAAAATGCACTGTTGGCCAAGGTCACGAGATCCCTGATAGGGATGTGAACTCAGAACAGGAAAGAATTCCTGTGCTTTGAGGTCGTACTTGATGCCACTTTCTTGTCCTGTTAGATGTCACTGATCACTGTAGGCAACTGGATTCTCTATGTGAACTCTTCTCTGACATCAGAGAGTGCTCTGCAAATTCTTTTTTCTCTATGTTTCCCATCAGTGCTTTTGAACCACTTCATAAAAAGGTGTGTTGTATTTCTTGAGAGTTCTAGAGATCACACATTCAAAGTATCCTGACAGTCTTATACTGTCTCCAGATACTAAAAAAACGCTGTATTATTTATTATTTGCTGTTTTAGGTGTCAGCTTTTAAAGATAAAATTAAACTGTTGATTTAATAGAAGAAAATTGTTATTGTGCATACATTTCCTTTGTGAAATGTGATCTTTTTGTATCATACATGAAGATCATACAGATATGGCAGTGCAATTGATTACGATTGCAAGGTTTCTCTGCACCAGTGAATTGTGTGTCTGCATCTTTTGACAGAGATACATATGAATATGCGGTGAGATAATACTGTAAGGTTAAAGTAGAATATTCCCTGATTATTAATTTGTATACACACTTTTTAAAATGGCCTATGTTGCTTTTTGTCTTAGCTGCAACACAAAGACTTGTGTGTATGCATGCATATGAAAGAGAGAGTATGAAGTTTGTATTTTATAATGTAGTAAGAAAGAATGTTAACATATGTTAGAGAACAATGTTTGTAGAGTGATGTTGGCAATACCATAAAACATGTATAATAAGTGAAACCCATACAGGAAATTACTTTTGCAGTGTACATGTACGGATAGTGCTGTACTTTCCTTAAGTAGCAGTGGTTCCCAACCTGTGGTCCGTGGAGCACCAGTGGTCCGCAATAACTAAAATATGGTCCATGGCCTCACCATTACTACACACTTGCAACACCGCACGGATCACGCCCACTTCCTTGTGGCCATGCACCCGGCAATAACTAAAATATGGTCCATGGCCTCACCATTACTACACACTTGCAACACCGCACGGATCACGCCCACTTCCTTGTGGCCATGCACCCGTGCTGAGGAGGTGAGAGAAAGCCATTAGGAACAGTCTCTTGGGTCTCACGTGTTGGGGTTCAGCCTGATCCTGATCTGTGTGAACCGGATTCTCTGACAGTTTTTCCAACTGAGCAAGCTCTCCCTGACCCTGACAGTGTGGAATCTGTTGTTGATGCAGAGGTCAGCAGCGATGAAAACGAAACTCAACAGCTGGAGGAAAATGTTTTGGAAGTTAGCCGTGATATCACTAGCCGTGATATCTCTCCACCTGGGGTTTTTAATGAGGACCGAAGAGAACAGATAGTTAGAGACAGAAATGTTTCCCAATTTCTATGAAGGTCACATCGATTACAGGAGAAACAGGCCCAGACGTCAAAGTCAAGGGGCGTTTCAAAGAATAGCTTCTTTGGTTTAAGAGGCCTCCTGCCGGGTGCCTCTTTAGATCAAGCAACGTTTGGGACTGTGGCTGTGCCTTGGCAGAATTCCTGTGTTTCATGGCCGGTAATCCCAGAGGCTTAGTTATCAAGTTCATGGTTAGTAAAAGGCTAACAGGATTCCTGGTTCTTGTATTGTGGCTTTTGAAATTTTGCTCAAGTTCAGAGATTCTACTGACTGCTGTGTTTTTCTGTGGCTTTTTGACTTTGCATTTACCTTTCTTTTGTAACCAATTTTTCATCAATAAACAAGGATTGCTTTTCCTACAGTCCAGTGTGGTGGATTTAATCTTATGGTCTCGTTTCTTGAACTGAGATGCAACATCACACTCCGCTTTTTGTACTTTTTCAACCTCAGCCCCCTCCCCTTCTTTCTTTTTTTTTACACAAGCGTTAAACAAAATCCATGGATAATAATACAGCCCAAACAAAAAAATCTTTCTTGGTGTCTTCATTTTTAGGCCTCTTTCTGGGGTTACTTGGGGGTTCTGATTCAGAAAATTGCATTGGATAGACTACATCAGCTCTAGATTATTAAATATGGTTTTCTGTGGGTGAGCAGATGGCGAGTCCTGGATGGCACATGTTCTGTATCAGAAACTAGAGCTGATGTGGTCTATCCAATGCAATTTTCTGAATCAACACCCCAAATAACCAAACCAAATCGAAAGTTGACCAAAAACTGATTCGTAACCCTTTTGTTACTAATGTTGGAGAATGGTCCCTGGTCAAAGTGGTCGCTCACCAGAGACCATCAGCAGATAGATCTGGGACTAGCATTGATCCACAGACCAGCCCTTTAAGTAGCACTTATGAAAAGAACAGCATGGAAAAAGGTGGGAACCGCTGTTATACAGTGCCCATCTTTACGGTACATTCAGCATATTAATTTGACCAACTGCCTGTTCAGGCCCGTAGCCAGAATTTTGATTGGGGGGGGGCTGAATCTGAGTGAAAGAGGGTCTACCCTAGCAAACCTTTTGTATCATTACCCCAATACTCCCATGCATATGGGATATATTGAGCATGGTGATAAAATCATATGAATAAAAACAACAGTTTAAATAATTTACCAGTAAGGCCTACTCGCAGACCACCCACCATGAGAATTTGGGGGGGGGGGCTGAAGCCCCTTAAGCCCTCCCCCCCCTCAGCTACATGCCTGTGCCTGTTAAAATTTCATTTTTTGTTTTGTCTCCTTTAAAAACAGGTAATACAAGGCTGATTTGAGGCAGGGAAGATAGGACACAAAACAATTTCTAGTCTCCCAGAATCTCATTTTTTTCTTGTTCCTAAGCAGAATATCCCCCAAGCTACAGGTTGGGGGTGGATTCCCATCCCAGTTATTTGTCAAGAGATTAAATTTTACTTCCCACCTTTTTTAAAATTCATACTGAGGAGAATATTTGGTGCAAGCAACCCACTATTCGCAACAGGAAAAAAAATGCTCCAGCCACCTGCAACATTTTCCATATTCCAGTGCCTATATATTTAAAATACTGGATATTTCTCATTGTTACTCTAGATGTATTTATTTGTTTACCTGTACGTAGCAGAAAAAGTATATATACCACTGTTTTGCAATATGGAACCCAAAGTAGGTCACATCATATGTTAAAACAAGATTTCCAGTGAATACATGACACAGCTGAATGCATGTCATTTAGTTTCTGTGGTATTTATAAAGTGAAAGCCTATCATCACAACTTAGATTCTAAATTTTAGAGGAATGAGAATGGCAAGTCAGAAGGATAGTGAAATAATATATATTTCTGTGTCTCTGTGTGTGTTCAAGCCAAAGTGGGGTGGGGAGGGGATGCAGAATGTGCTCACTTTGAAATATTACCAGGAGCTGATTTAAGTGTATGGAAAAGGGAAGAGCCTTATTTGACTTATTGTCACAGAAGTTTGACTTTGGTGTAATGTAGTCTTTCTTAAGCTGATGTGGGGAATGCCAATTTTTCCCAGTGCATCAAGAACAGTAACATATTCATGCCCATATTTGTGCCCGTTGCTTATAATTCTTTCTTTCTTGAAAGCTCACCAGAGACCATCAGCAGATAGATCTGGGACTAGCATTGATCCACAAACCAGCCCTTTAAGTAGCACTTATGTAAAGAACAGCATGGAAGCATGGCATCTGCCACTTTCGCTCTGAATCTGTTATCTTGTTAAACAGAATGTATAACTGTATACAAGTTGTTCAGCTGAAGTAGAGGACATTAAGATTATTAGAAAGAATGGAATTAGCATTTCTTCTCTTTTGAGAGTCTGCTTCATAAACATCACTGAGCTGAAGTCACAAAACACACATTCATTTTGCATAGTTTAAATAATCACATGTGTTATTTGGATAAGTTTTCATTAAATTACATGAAATTATTTTTCTATAGTCATGCAGATATGTTCTGAGAACCTACCTCACAGACATACCTATGGATGCCTAACATTGTCTCCTCTCCTGAGCCCACTTTCCACCCAAATGGTTTGGGAGTTTGCTTATACTGAGTCCATATAGATGCCTATATTTTTCTTGTTTTCCAAGATTTTTGCATATAATACACAGAGGAGAAATACTGTGTATGCAGTAATGATAATAATAATAATAACAAAAAACACCCCAGTAATAATAAACATAATTGAGCAAAACTCTCAAATGTAAAATTTTCCATTTTTCTAGAAATGTGAAATCCCGTCATTACCTTTATGAACATTTTTATATATCTTCCCATGTAGATTATTGGTTTTTCTTCCATATGATGTGTTATTACCTGTATTTTATATGTGTTTCATAGAAAAGATTAAGACTCTGTCATCCCAGTCATCTTCCATAAGAGCAATAGGAAACTGTAGGAAGTTAGAAACAGCTCAGTAGAACTTCTCAAGTAGAAATATATATTTAAGTAGGTCAGAAGTTGCAGGAGACGCTTGCTTTGCCTTAATTACAAAATGCTAAGTCTGACACTCTTGCTTTATGATTATTATTGTTTTTTAGACTGGCCTTTTGTGTCCCAGCTATCCAAGACTCTACCATTTCTTTGACTAGGCCGGGCACCCCCATGAATGTGACAGATGTATCAGGAAATGGCACTACTCCCTGGGAATGCAGATCCCGAATTCACCTCGTACACTTACAACAACTTGGAGACATATTGCGAAGTGCAGACAAAGAAAGGCTTCTTCTACAAAAAAGCCAAACTTCTGCACCCTGGAGAAGACTTGTATTGCTTTGCCTGCCGGGAGGACCGAACCCGGTACGTAATCATCAATGTAGGTGGCATCAAGTACAGGATTCCCTGGACTACGTTAGAAAATTGTCCCTTGACCAGGCTGGGAAGGTTGAAATCATGCAACAACTATGATGAAATAATGGATATCTGTGATGATTATGATGTCAACTGCAATGAGTTCTTTTTTGACCGCAACCCTTGTGCCTTCAGGACCATCATGACGTTTTTGACAGCGGGGAAACTAAGGCTCCTCAGGGAAATGTGTGCCCTCTCATTCCAAGATGAGCTGGTTTACTGGGGGATAGAAGAGGAACACCTAGAGTGGTGTTGTAAAAAGCGACTGCGGCAGAAAGAGGAGGAGATGGCGGAAGCTGCTTTGTTTGAAGAGGAAATGGCTGCTGATGAAGTGCCAGAGTGTGCCTTCGAAGACACTAGCCGTTTGCGTTTGTGCATGAGAAGGCTCAGGGATATGGTGGAGAATCCTCACTCGGGGATTCCTGGAAAGATCTTCGCTTGCATATCTGTTTCTTTTGTTGCCATCACTGCAGTTAGCCTCTGTATTAGCACCATGCCGGATCTCAGAGAAGAAGAAGATCGGGTAAGTGCACAATGATGAGAAAGAAAGTTTACATGTGTACATCTCAAATGCAAAGAACCAGTATGTATAGACAAATCTTGTAGGACATTTCTCAAATGCACAAGACATTTCTACAAATGCACAAGACTAACAACCATCCACTGCTATTGCAATATCTCTTTTAGAATAGAATGTTGTTTATTACTTTCACATAGGCTTGCTACTTCATAATCCAATAATTCAGATTTTTCTGTTTGTTTGCCCATGACATCAAAGCTATTTGTGTGTGTTTTGGGTTGTCCTGAAGGAATTTGAGTTTCCCAATTCCACCCTCAACTACCTTTTCCTTTTGAAAAATCTCTCCTTTTGAAAGGAAATGCAGCTCTGTTGGATATCCTGAATATTTCCTCTACCCATGTATAATTATGTTAGAATGTAGGATTTCCGGATCTGGGGTGTAGCAAAGGCTTTGTGGAAACAATAAGCACTTTCCTTTAGAAAAATTGAATACCCTGTGGCTAAGACAGTAAATGGAGTTCAGAATATATATATATGCACTATGAAACCAAGTTTATGACCTGGTTTAAAGCATGTTCACATAAAAGTACCTTCGATGCACCACAGTGTAATTTACAGCCATTGTAGACCCACAAGGAACAAAGGGCAGATGGACTTAGAAGGTTTTTGAGAACATGCCTGACAAAGACCCATATGGGTTTCTATGGGTGTTATGATTCTCTGTGTTTTGTTCTGGGAAATCATAGTTCATAGTTTACAGCGTTGGATTGAATATCCTTTGCAATGGTTTTAACTTTATGGTCTTAATAATTTTTCACATCTCCTGATTTCTAAACAGCCTATAGTGATGACCTAGCTCCATTCCCATTTCCTTCAAAGTTAGTTCTACCCCTTCCCTCCAAGATTTTGCAGTTGCTCAAAGAGCATGATCATCAAAGCGTAAGCTGAATGTAATAGTATTTAGCTAACCTTTGTCACTTCTGACACGACCATATTATTTTCATTATTCCTGATCCTCCACAGCATGGTTTCCATTATGATCCTCTTTGTCCACACTCATTGTTCCCTTTTTAATGAGTACTTACACTGTTGGGTATAGTCAGTTGTTGGCTCTGGTAGCATTATCTGTAGTCAGTGAGGCACATGAGATCATGAGATCAAACTATGGCAGCTGTAGATGAATTGAGGTAATGAAACGTATGTTCAGGAGTGAATTCTCTAAAGTACTTCATATCTATGAGTTTTGAAGCTCACAGCTCATGTGTAACGAGACAACTCTGTAATTTTCCAGACCAACAATCTTGACAAAATGCACTGCCAATAACACTTTATTTGAACGCCACTATGCAGTTTCATACAATTTTGTCCTATTGGTGGAATTGCATTGCTGTGCCTTCTTGTTGTTATGGTTTTCATGGAAATAACTTATTTATTTATTTATTTACAATGTGTGGACACAGGACTCTCTGAAAGATTATTTTGAGGAGCTAGACAATAGGAAGGTGGATATTCATAATAGAAAGGCATGTATAAACTTCAACAACATTTTTCTCAGTTTTTATAGAATTCTTGCAAAATTGTACACTTGGGCACACAACACACAGGCGTAGTTCATCTCATTATTAAGTATTAAATACCTTTAAATATTATATATTGTATCTTTAAAATATTTGATAGTTCTTTCATTTCAATGAGAAACTTGCTTTTAAGCTCCGCCACCTCCTGTGAAAACTAATGGATCTTAAAGTGCTTGACTGTGACTGAATAGGGCCAGGTGTATTCCTTTAAGAGCATGTGTTTTTGCAAGCAACAGAGTTCTATGTTAACAGTAGATTATATTAGATTTGTTTGCAAAGCTGAAGTTCTCATTCATTGCTGATAACTGTGAGTGAAAGCATTCTTTATCACACCAAGGAAAAGCACTTCTGATAGCCATACATCATCCAACAACATCCTTGTTGTTTCTAGGAAACAGATAAATATAAATATAATACTGCAGAATGATTACCAGTCCTGAAATGAAATCATTCAAAAAGAAAGATGCATGTTTTTGAAATTACATTAAAATGACAACTCATCACACAGGGTTTTGTGATCCAGGGTAGAAGTAGAGCAGTATTGCTTTCTCACTCCCCATTAATCACAGCCAGTATATATTTTCCTCCCAGGGACCAGTGCAAGGAAGCAGGAACCACTATGGCTTTAATTCAATGATGCCAACCTTTTTTTGACCAGGTACCAACTTAATTAGGTACCAACTTGACCAGGGACCACTCTCCAACATTAGTACCAAAAGTTTTTGGTCAACTTTAGATTTGGTTTGGTTATTTGGGATGCTAATTCAGAAAATTGCATTCAATAGACCACACCAGCTCTAGTTTCTGATACAGAACACATGCCATCCAGTAGTCATCATCTGCTCGCCCACAGAAAACCATATTTAATAATCTAGAGCTGATGTAATAGTAGTAATCTTTTGTGCGTAGTCAGCCTTTCTCCTCCCGACCTCTTGGTTGCCTCGGCACTATAACATTAAACAATAAGTTCACATTCACAAAATGTTGTAAGTTTTCTACAAATCTCGTAATTTCTTCTTAGGAATGATATTAAATTAAAGTTCAAACTCTGCTTTTTCTAGAACTGGATAACATTCCATAGAAAAAACAGAGTTTGAACTTTAATATCATTCCTTAGAAGAAATTATGAGTATTTGCAGAAAACTTACAACATTTTGTGAATGTGAACTTATTGTTTAATGTTGATTTTGTATGTTTTCATAACCTATTAATTAATGATTATATCTACTTTGCCCATGATATTGAAACAAATAATAATTGAATTGTACATATCACATGCACTGTGTAAACCTGTGTTGTAATTGATATAGTAGTACACCAAAATAAATATACAAATTTAAAGAGAGAGTGAAAAATATACACAGTATATATACACAGTAGAATGCAAACACAGACATATTTACATTGTTTCTGCACAATTATCATAAAAACATACCTATCTACCCAATACGTGGGCTACTTAAAAAAAGAGTCCCCAATTGCAGAACAAAAATTGATTGAATTTGAGAACTGAATCATAAGATGATTTCCTTCAAAATACAATAAAAAATTAAATAAATGAATGAATCTTGATTTTGTTTGTATGGATCTAGACGAATATAAGCAGAGATATCTTTTTACACCAGGACTGTTTTGAGTTCATCTTCTCTTTCCCTGAAAAAAGTATCCTTGTGGGTTAATGACTTTCTAAAATTGCATGGCAGACTGCAGTGAAATTACGAGCCACCTGTTGTACAAGCAGAAGTAACTCGGGGTCATGGAAGAAGCTTTTTTCAATCCCAGTTCATTTAATTAAAGATGTTGTTGTCATCATCATAATCAACACTGTCATCATCATCTTTTCTTTTTGAGACTATTAATTGGGTGCTACATTTGTGTCATTTTGCTAACATGAACATTTAGTGTCTTGATAATTGGGACCAAAATAGCCAAGAGTGTTTGAGCACGTTTACAAGATTCACACATTTAGTAGATCTTAAGTTTTCACAGTATATGCACAATACACATGTAGCAATAAGCAAACTTCACTGCAGTCTCATCTTCCTTCTGCATTTATATACAGTGTCCATGAGACACAAGAAAAAGTTTAAAGCAACTGATAAAATAGCTGATGAAAACTCGTGTTTCACTAAAGTTAATTGGTTTATATGAACCCCGGTGGCGCAGTGGGTTAAACTGCTGAGCTGCTGAACTTGTTGACCAAAAGAGTGGTGGTTTGAATCTGGGGAGCGGGGTGAGCTCCCACTGTTAGCCCCAGCTTCTGTCAACCTAGCAGTTCAAAAACATGCAAATGTCAGTAGATCAATAGGTACCGCTCTAGCAGGAAGGAAGTGGCATTCTATGCAGTTATGCCAGCTACATGACCTTGGAGATGTCTACAGACCACACTGGCTCTTCGGCTTAGAGATGGAGATGAGCACCGCCCCCAGAGTCAGACACGACTAGACTTAATGTCGAGGGGAAACCTTTACCTTTACTTTACTCTTTCTTGTTTTTGTCACAACATACCATCATGGCAGCTGCTTTGGAAACTGATCATTGTAGGGTAATTATTGTTGACCACTTTACTGCAAATTTTATTATATCATCTTCATCTGGTTAAAAAAATATTTGCCTCTTGAAATCTTTGCACAAACGCTGTGACAATTTGGTTATCTTGATAGGCTCTGTTGTTATTTTCATTTTGCAAACACAATAGCTTGTTGCACCAGTGAACAACTATAAATAAAAGTTTCAGAATATGATTTTGTATTTCTTTTCACACTCCAGCACTAATCTTACAGCATGGCCCTGCTGCTGTACAAGTCACATTCAGTTCAGTGGAGCTTGCATAGAAGTTCTGGGCAGATTGTGCCCTTCATGTATCCTTCCTCCTCCATTCCAAATTGGAGCAAGAAAAGAGAAGTCACAAAAAAGTGAGATTAAAGATGTTTTAGGTTTACAGATATCCTTTTAATGCTGTTTTATATGAATGTTCCAACTGTATTAAACAACATTAGAAGGATATCTATAAACATCTGCACGCTACTATGCATTGCACTACACACACAGAAAGGAATAACAAAGCATAAAAAGATATTAAAGTTTAAGGGAAAGTAAATTAATCTATTCTTTTAAAACTGAGATACAGTGATTATTTTTATTTTTTCAGGATTTATTAAACATTTAATGTGTATAGTTAAGAAATCAGAGATTTTGATCAAGTGCTTGAGAAGTGAATGTGCTGCTGCAGTAGTCTTGATGGAGTTGGTATAATCAAAAACAGCTCCTAAGAAGTGATTTCAGGAGATAACATGTCTTTTGAGGCATGTGTTAATCCGTCAGTATCAAAATGTAATCTCCTTGAAACAACATTTTAATGTGGCTAGGGATGGCAAGCAAAGAAGACAAATAGCTAATTCTCCAGAGAAATGTTGAATTGCTTAT